TGCATTTTGACCACCGCTACAACTATTAATCTTTTTCTATTAGAAAGAGCATGTCTTAAAACCTAAATAACACGAAAAATAAGCATACTATAAAAAGTAAAAATTTTCAAAATAGATACTTTTTGCTAAATCAACCGTTTCAAATTCTTAAACGCACCCGCCTTTGTTGTTGTTAGTTGAAATTTTTCGTTTTGTTGTGCATATTTTTTTATTAAATTTATAATTTTTGTTAATTTCCAAGTAAATGACACACGGAAAGCTGCTCACGGATTTTGATAAAGGCCAGATTGATGCCCGTTTGAGGATTGGCGACTCAATAAGGAAAATCGCAAAAAATTAGTGCCGATCCGACTCTGCCGTGCAAAATTATAGAAAGTCCGAGTTCGTTTCTGCACCAAAGAAGAAGCCAGGACCAAAACCAAAGCGTACACCGCGAGCTAGACACCATATTGTGAACAAAATCCACGGAAAAACGATCAATGAAGTGAAAACGGAACTGAAAATCGACGCTTCGAAGTCGACAATTTGGCGAGCCGTCACGGAAAATTCACATATCGACCGACAATTATTGAACATGCAACCGGTCATGAATCTTTCGCACAAGAAAGCCCGATTCGAGTTCGCCAAGACTCATATGAATCAGGATTGGTCTATGGTTAGAAAGCCGATTATGTTTTATTATTTTTTTTGCGTTTAGGTGATCTTTTCCGATGAGAAGAAATGGAATTGGGATGGTCCCGATGGCGTTGACTACTATTGGAGGGATCCTCGACGTGATCCGATGGTGTTTGGAACTCGAAACTTTGACGGTGGTTCTGTGATGGTTTGGGCCGCCTTTTGTGCTGATGGAACGGTCGCTCTGAAGATGGTTTCGAATCGGATGACTAGATAGATATCGTGAACAATTGCTTGTTGCCGTTTTTGCTCCTAACCAACCGTTCCGGACTTGTTTCAATACGACAATGCGTCAATTCATCGAGCCGGAGACACCCGAGACTGGCTGAACCGCAACAACATTGCAACTTTGGACTGGCCCGCTCAGTCTCCTGACCTCAATCCGATAGAAAATTTATGGGAAATACTTGTCCGAGCTGTCTACAAGAATCATCGTCAGTTTCAAGACGTTTCTACACTTAAAGCAGCAATTTTTTCGGCCTGGAGCGATCTCGACGTCTCTGCTCTTCAAAACCTCATCAATTCAATGCCAGACCGCATTTTTCAAGTAATTAATCGTTCTGGTGCGTGTACAGATTATTAGTTTTGATTTGTAACCTTTGATTTTATATTTGTGTCGATAAATAACAATATTTTCATAGTGCGTTTAAGAATTTGAAACGGTTGATTTAGCAAAAAGTATCTATTTTGAAAATTTTTACTTTTTACAGTATGCTTCTTTTTCGTGTTATTTAGGTTTTAAGACATGCTCTTTCTCATAGAAAAAGATTAATAGTTGTAGCGGTGGTCAAAATGCAAAATCCGCTATTTTAGAGGGTGCGTTTAAGAATTTGAAACACACTGTATATAAATAGCTTGCGTTTAAGAAAAATTCTCTTTGAAGAGTACTTTGAAGAATATTGAATCGTTAGAAAGTTCCAAAAATGTCTAAAGTTCGCTTCTTTCTTACAGAAAGAACTTGTTTTTTCAAGAAACTCTCCGAATTCATTGCATTAAAAAGGATTCGTTTATAATTCACAGCACAAAGTACACTAGAAGCTCAGTGTACCAGACTTTTAAGAAACATTGGCCGACTTAGAAGAATGTTATGGCGAGTTGCGCAAAAAAAAATTGCCGAAATTAGACTTTTAAACTTTAAAAGACAAAGAATTCTCATGAATTCCCGAAAGAAAATGGAAAATAAAGAAAGCATCTAATTGTTTCATGGGAAAACAGAGAAATGTGGGAAAACCGAACGCAAATGTTGACTAATCGCTGCAAAAGAACACTGCATTTAAGAAATTGAGATGGGTAATTTGAAGAGAGCTTTGAAGAGAGCTTTGAAGAGAGCTTTGAAAAGATCAAAAGCCTTTCAATGAGCTCCCAGAATCACAGAATTGACTTCTAATCAAAGCTTTTGATGTTTGCTACAAATTTTCAACTATTGACTCAAACAAAAAGAATCAAGCACTCACAAGAAAAAAGTACCCTAAAGTCTCGAGTATAAGTTCTGCCTTAATTTCCATTCGCTTTAATTGCTTTGAATTTATTTTTGTTGGGTTTTTATACATTTTTATTGTTATATAAACTTTTATTATTGTTCTTGGAGCGCGGGATACTACAGGGTGACAGCCTATCACCATTGCTATTTGTTATGTGCATGGATACATCCAGACGATAGTGTTGAAGAAGACGCTGGAAAGCATCTCTTTCGACCGTCGACGTGGACTTTGGCCGGATGAAGAGGCCAGGGCCGGATGAAGAGGCCAGGGCCGGATGAAGAGGCCAGGGACGGATGAAGAGGCCAGGGAGGGATCCATAAGACTGAGCACTGGAGAGGAGCAGGGCGGATGCGCCGAGCCACGCGCCGGAGCAACAAATAACAGCATAAAATTGCTATAACCCTCAATAAATTTACTTCTATTATTGTTCTTAAAAAGCAACAAAAGTTATGCTGCAGCGGGGTTCGAACCCTCGACACACCGCACCGGAGACAGCCGTCAATTTGCATGCGAAAACCAAACAGAACTTATACTCGCGACTTTAGGGTAATCTAAAAAAATAAAACTATGAAATATAAAAGAAAAACATAAAAATATGCCGTTTTTTCAAAAATCTAGTCAATAAAATAATCAAAACCCTTCAAAAGCAATGCAAAAAGCAATACAAAAAAAGGAAAACGAGAATGAAAAATTTAGAAGAGTTCCTGGATGAACGAAAGTTTGACAAAGTTTATGTAAAATTCTTCAAATGCAATACAGGAAATCCGGTGCTCAGACTTTTAACCTTTCTTGTTTTTTTTTAAAAAAAGAGAAGAGAGCTTCTGGGAGTGAAACTCGAATTGAAAATTTTGCGTTCAAAAAGGATTTCCTTTGCATGCATGACTGCTAAAGGGGTGAAATGGAAAGGGGAAAAAGGGGAGAGTGACGACAAAGAGATATTTCTGATGAGAAGTGTATCGATATAATGACTATGAGCTACTCATTAATGGAAGCATTCTGATGTACCGCAAAGTTTTTCCTTAAAGAGAAATTATGGCTAAATCATTGTAGCTAAATCAAATGTAGATTTGAGAAAAACTATTAGGTTGATGCAAAAGTCTTTTTCATTTTTTTCGTACTTCTTTTGAAAAATAACAAAGTCATCAATTAACCTATGGTTTGCTCTAAATGAAAAGTGTTTATTGTTCAATTTCCCATCTTTTTAAGTCAATTTGGGTTCACTTTCAAGCAAATTCGAGAGTGAAAACGGGTTTCTCATAAAAATCTATAAAAACCTCTATAAAGAAATTGGCTGAATCAATTTCTCTGAAAATCTGAAAAAATATTTAACTTTTTGTGCTCTATCTTTTATTTATTAACATCAAGATTGGTTTCCTTAGCTAAAGCGTCTAAAATGCATCATCGAGCCGTCGCCTTTTTTGACTACCCGACTTCAGGCTCTCAAAAAAATCTAGACCTAAGACATTTTAAACTCGTTTTAATGTCATTTTGCAGAAAAATAATTGGCCTTTCGAATGCAATAAACCGTTGTTCAATTGGTGCATTTGTTACTTTTTAACGGAAGTACGAAAAAAATGAAAAAGACTTTTGCATCAACCTAATAGATCAATTAGATCAATTAGATTAATTAGATCAATTAGATCAACTAGATCATCTAGATCAACTAGATCATCTAGATCAATTAGATCAATCAAATCAATCAAATCTATCAATTAGACCAATCAAATCAATCAAATCAAACAATTAGATCAATAAGATTTTATCTGTAAACAAGCCACACAAAGATTACCAAAACACATCAACAAGTGCCTCAAAATAAGCACCTTTTTCCTTAAAAAAGCCCTTTCCCAAGAGGTTTTAGCTATTCAATTGAAGTCACGGGTGTGCACTCACACATTGGATTCTCGAGGATTGATCTTTAGTCTCAAAACTAGAATCTTAGCCATTAGCTCAAAGTTCAGAATCCACCAGAAATCAGTGTTTAACTGTTTATTCACAAGAGAACAAGAGTGTTTAAAGTTTTTGATTTCAAAATACACCAAAAAGAACAAAGATGTTGGGAAAAATTCGGGGTTTTCCCAAAAAAAAAGTTTTTGAAATCCAAAAATATCTAGACATTGATATTTATAAGACAAAAATATCAAAAATTCAACGTTTTTATGAGAGCTTTTAGGAGGCACTTGGCCAAAATAGAAAATTCTCAGGATTTGTGATTTATTCGGCGATTTCTTCTCGTGAATTTCTTTTCTAAAATCTCTTTCAATCTCTTTCTTCATTGAAACAAAAAAGAAAATTGGATCTTTGATAGGAATAAAAGTTCTTTGAAACTGAAAAGTACCAAAACTAAGGTAGTTCTAGGTAAGGTACCTTTCTAGTTAAGGTAAACTAGGTATGGTACCTTTCTAGTTAAGGTAAACTAGGTATGGTACCTTTCTAGTTAAGGTAAACTAGGTATGGTACCTTTCTAGTTAAGGTAAACTAGGTATGGTACCTTTCTAGTTAAGGTAAACTAGGTAAGGTACCTTTCTAGTTAAGGTAAACTAGGTAAGGTACCTTTCTAGGTAAACTAGGTAAGGTACCTTTCTTAATTTTCTTAGAGAATTTTGATATTTAAACCTTTTCAGAAGTAACAGAAGTGAAGTTTATTCAAGTTTATTCAAGTTTACTCGAGTTTATTCAAGTTTTATTCAAGTTTATTCAGGTTCATAGTGAAGTTTATTCAAGTTTAAACGACTAGAGTCCATTAGAAAACTGTTTACACCTTTTATTTACATCTTTTATTTACATCTTTTGTTTACATCTCAGCAGAATTTTATTAAAAACGATTTTAACAAAAGGATATTAACGGGATTGATCTCGGCTTTCCTCGAAAGAGAAGCTCTCTTCATCCGCCCGTTCACTCATTTCTTCATTGACACAAAATGCGATCTCTTCATCACATCCACCACAAGAGAAACCGCGAATTGGTAATGGAACAAAGTTTGTTGGCAATGAACTGAAATTTTCAAATATTTCAATTTTTTTGATTTTCAATGTGATTTTTCTCTAAAAATGCTTGAAAAGAATAAAGAGTGCTCAAAAATTGCAAAAAAAACTTTTAAGGAAACAATTTTATGCATAAAAATGAAGTAAATCAAGGGAAAATGAAAATTTATGTATTTATATATATATTTATATCCATATATATATTTATTAGGTTGATGCAAAAGTCTTTTTCATTTTTTTCGTATTTCTTTTGAAAAATAACAAAGTCATCAATTAACCTATGGTTTCCTCGAAATAAAAAGTGTTTATTGTTGAATTTCCCATCTTTTTAAGTCAATTTGGGTTCACTTTCAAGCAAATTCGAGAGTGAAAACGGGTTTTTCATAAAAATCGATAAAAACCTCTATAAAGAAATTGGCTGAATGAATTTCTCTGAAAATCTGAAAAGATATCTAACTTTTTGTGCTTTATCTTTTATTTATTAACATCAAGATTGGTTTCCTTAGCTAAAGCGTCTAAAATGCATCATCGAGCCGTCGCCTTTTTTGACTACCCGACTTCAGGCTCTCAAAAAAATCTAGACATAAGACATTTTAAACTCGTTTTAATGTCATTTTGCAGAAAAATAATTGGCCTTTCGAATGCAATAAACCGTTGTTCAATTCATGCATTTGTTACTTTTTAACGGAAGTACGAAAAAATGAAAAAGGACTTTTGCATCAACCTAATATATCCATTTATGTACAGTAGCGGACATGATTTTAGCATTTTTTTTTGTTTTTACCGAAACTTTGTTGCAATTTAAGCTATAAAGCCAAAATTTGCCCTGAAAATCTTCTAAAAATTAATATTTTACCACCTAAAAAATCCTCAGATTTTGTTCACAAGCTTTTCAAGGATTTTGGTGTCAAGCTGAACGACATAATTATGATCTTTTATACATTTATTTTGATCGTTTTAGAATTTAGATAGATGATTATTAACAACACAATCACAAAGTTTACTCAAGAATCACCAGAGGACACACCTCTTCGACAGCACCGTCCTCCCGGCACTCTGCTACGGGACAGAGACCTGGGCCACAACACAGACCACCAAACGAGCTCTGAGAACGACGCATCGAGCCCTTGAAAGGAACCTCCTCGGGCACAATAGGAAGATCGCCAAGACCTCGCAGCTCGACCAAGACCTAAGAAGTATGGATATGCGTCAGCTCTCGGGACTCAGAGATCCAGTGGTGATCGAGAGAAAAAGACTCAGATAGGCTGGCCACGTCAGATGAGGTTGGGCCGGTCAGAAGAACAGACGACAGATGGACGATACGGATCACAGAGTGGCTACCACGAGACCAGAAGAGGTCCATCGGAAGACCAGCAACGAGGTGGAGCACAAGAGTGGTAGAAACGGTCAGAGAAAGGATGGCTAGAGTGCAACCACCACCAGCACAAGCAAGTCGAAGACTTCGAACCAGGAACAATCAAGATAGGAAACACTGGATGACAATAGCAAGGGGCAGAGAAATGTGGAAGCTGGTTGTGATCTGCGCAAAGAGGAAGACCTAAGTGCGAAGACAGATCAAAAATAAAGATTGACTGACTTAGAAGAAAGTTATGGGAAATTGCGCAAATTGATCAACTTTTGTAGGTAAGTAGTCCAACTTTGACACAACTTTTCTCTATGTTCTTACACATGAGTATACAAGATAAATTGTACTTTTCTATAGCCAAATTTAATGGAGATTCTCTTAAAACTAACCCTAAGACGGTCCGATCACTGGGAGTGATAGAGTAAATTAGAAAAGTTCCCAAACTCCGAGACTCGTAACGGAATTTCGAAGTTCAACTTTGACACAAATTTTCTCTATTTTCTTATACATGAGTATACAAAAAAAACTCTACTTTGCAAAGTGCGAAGAAAGATAAAAAACTATTAATAACTTTTTATCAATATAAATATCAATATCAAGTAAAATCCTTGCTAAAAACCTAAAAATTTCACTTTCAAAAAAAACCAATACGGACTCGAGCAAGCAATTTTTTGTAAACCAAAATCTTAACCAATTCCGCCAACTGATTGCTGAGAATTTCCTCCCCAAAAGTGACAAGTCTTTACCTTTAAGATCGACTAAATAGAATAATCAAAGGAATTTGAAATTAAGCAGCTCTAATCTTTGCTTTCAACTCGCTGTGCCATCGCTGTGCCAACTTTTTGTGTCATTCTTTTCTAACTTTAAACTCTAACTTTCTTCGCGCTTTGTTGCTCAATTGTAATCGAGTTTTTGTATTATTCGATTCGTCATTTCTTCTTCAATCGATTGATACAAAAATCATTTCAATCGGGGCAACGAGAGAGAAATAACAAGCAATAATAGTTATTGTTGTTGTTGTTGTTGTTGTTGTTGTTGTTGTTGTTGTTGTTGTTGTAGTTGTTGTAGTTGTTGTTCTTGTTCTTGTTGTTCTTGTTGTTCTTGTTGTTCTTGTTGTTGTTGTTCTTGTTCTTGTTGTTCTTGTTGTTCTTGTTATTGCAATAATTTTCAAACAGCCTTATACAATTTGTTCCAAAATCCCTGGCCTGGCTTTTGGCTAAACTGTTTTTCAGCGAAATCAAAATCAAAATCGAACTAAGCCAACTCGTTTATTAGTTAAAACAAAAACCAAAGCCTTAGGTTGGCTTCTGAACAACTTTGATCATTTCTTGATTTGCTCAGGGCTTCGCTAAGCTTTAAATAAGCTTTAAATAAGCTTTAAAACATTCTTAAAACATTCTTTGATCTTTTAAACTTTTAAAAAACTTAAAAACTCACCTCGAAGCAATCAAAAATGGACTCAATTTGATATGATTAGATTCAGCTGGTCCGTCGAGAGCCAAACTGATTGAGCATTGATTTGCTGAAAGAATTTTGTAGATAAAGTTTGAGGAAATAAACCTGAGCATTGCCCGATTGGCACAATGTGCACTTCTTTGTTCTTTGTCGAGAAAATCTCGATCAATCGACCGCTTGTCGTTTGAATGCACATCATTTTTAAGCAAGAAAAGCGGCCGATCGCCTAGGGATTTTATAAGATTTTCAATGTTTTAATATATCAAATATTAAATATTAAATATTAAATATTAAATATTAAATATTAAATATTAAATAACAAATATCAAAAATCAAATAACAGATACCGTATTCTCTCTCTAAAATAGTAGTGCGCACTACTATTTTTTTCAATCCCCTCCTGGACCGCAATACTATTAAAGAGTGCACTACTATTGGGTTGTCCAGTTATGAATGCGCGTCTTTTACTATTTTGTAAATTTCTCAAGATACCAAAATCAAGAAAAAGATAAATATGAGTATTATTCGAAAGCTGAAGATCTCCTCTACATTTTGATATAAAAAGTTTTTGAATTTGTCCAGCTTTTGGGCAAATTGACTGCACAGAAGAAGAGGTGGCCAAAAAATGGAAGGTTGCCTTTGGATCAAGTTTTGGCTCCGCTCAAATTGAGTTAACCGTTTGATGTTTGGCCAATAGATATATCAATACAAGATTTTTTTAAATATAACAATTTCAGAGCATCTTTACTTTACTTTTCTTTTCTGGGCGATTATTTTACACCATAAAACTTGAGGAATAGCTAAGCTGGAATGGTTTTTTTTTTGAAAACGACCTCTCCCTTTGTGCAGTCAAATTCCCAAAAAGTTGAATGAATTCGAAAACTTTTTTATTCCAAAATGTAGAGGAGATGTTCAGCTTTCGAATGATATATAACACTCATATACATCTGTTCGATATCTTGAGAAATTTAAAAAATCGTAAAAACGCGCATTCACTGGACAACCCAATATTAGAGAGAATACGGTATCAAATATCAAATATTAAATTTTAAGATATTAGTTTTGAATGCTACGAAAAGATGATTTTGGTTTTAAACTTGATTATTTCATTAAAAATTCACCTGCAATTGACCTGATTTCCGTCGTGCGATTGGTGAGTAGACAAATTGTGTACCGCTTCGACACTTTCGACATTTGTCTAAACTTTGAAATTTTCGTCAATTTAATCCCCAAACCAGAAAGAGGCTTCAAAATCGTGTACTCGTGAGCTGAGAGGTTTTTCGCTTCTCTCGGAATGAAAACTGATGGTCGATACGGTGAATCCTGGAACAAAAGAAATAAGGAAATGGTCAGAAGTGAGATTTTGGTACCAAAACTAGATGCGAACACCTGAGATGGTGCTGACCGGGATTGAACCGGCATCGCGAGAATGAGACGCAAGGAATCTACCAGTTGACCACGAAGATGCTCCTCGTCGCTCCGAAAAAAGTTCTTTTAAAGAAGTGTGTCTCGCTTTCACGGTGCCGAAATTTCAACCGCTTCTTTAAGAGGGCTTCTTTCGAGCAGGCCGATGTGTCCTCGTGGTCAGCTGGTAGAGTCCTCGCCTACTAATCTCGTGACCCTGGTTCGGTCCCGGCCAGTGCCGCTTGTGCGGTTTTAGATCTCGTTTTGATGCCGAAATCTCACAATCACTTCTGACTATGCCCTTGTTAGTTTCAAATTGCCTTTTTAAGGTGTACTTTGAACTCAAAAAGGGAAACACACACACACACACTTTCTGGCGCACAGATCAATGGTATTGATAAAAACTGGGAATTAGTATGCGAAGATTGGGTGTATGATTATTTTTGAGCACAAAGTACACCACCAAAATCCAAAACTAACTCAATATTTCGTAACTTTTTTTAGTTCGACTTCGAATTGTGCCTAAAATCTTTCCAAAAACGAACGAACCATGCAATCGGTTTTTTGCTCATCACCAAAGCCTCTTAATCGATGCACAGTCGGTATCAAAATGTCTTCATCGTATTTATAAAGGTTAGCACTAGAAAAAGTGTCATGAGTATTCATTTTCATTATCGAACATTTGATATTTGATATTGCCTCTTTTCCCATCGGTAATCTAACTTTAAGCTCAAATTTCTTGGTGTTGGACTGTTCAATTTAAATGTTCTTAATATTATTAGATGCACTAAGTCTTTCTCTATCGATTGGTACAGAAATTATTGAAGTTGAACAACCCAACACTGAGATATTTGAGCTTAAAGTTGGACGAGGGACGGGACGCGTAGAAAGGTCCGTCGCCCCGTCCCTTTGCCATTGGCAATCTAACTTTAAGCTCTAATTTCTTGGTGTTGGACTGTTCAATTTAAATGTTCTTAATATTATTAGATGCGCTAAGTCTTTCTCTATCAATTGATACAAAAGTTATTGAATTTGAACAACCCAACACCGAGATATTTGAGTTCAAAGTTGAAATGCGAAAATTGGGCTGATCGGATGTGAACTAAGAGTTTAATTGCAGAAAATAGATGCTTTTCTAGAAAATTTCTTACTTAAAGATCAGAAATAAAGCGAAATGCTCACCCTGGAGGCTCAATTTTATACGCAAAACTTGCATAAATACAGAATAAAATCAAGGAAATCATTTATAGAAGTGATTAAAGCTTAGCACTTTTCCAATAATGATCATTTTTCGGATAAACTCTTGGGGTCACTCTCGATTTCTTTCTGGATTTTCCGGTGCTCAGCTGGTGAAAGTGAAGAGAATGAACGAGGAAAAAAGACTTTTAAACTCAATGAACCAGTTTCAAGTTTCAGATTTCAAGGCAAATTGCTGTCAACTGTCATACCAAATTCGTCTTGTCAAAACCATCAGCATAATACCAGTGTGGCGAATTGCCACTGCTTTGCGGGAATTGCCACTGCTCTGCGCGAATTGCCACTGTTCTGCGCGAATTGCCACTGTTCTGCGCGAATTGCCACTGCTCTGCGGGAATTGCCACTGCTTTACGCGAATCGCCACTGCTTTGCGGGAATTGCCACTGCTCTGCAGTTAATCAAAAATTCAATAAACAAGTTAAAATTCAAAGTTGATGGATAAACTACCGTAATCAGTCACTAGACGATATTCAGCTGTCCGTTTGTTGTAGCTTGTTGTAGCTTGTATACTTAAAAAACCCGTTTTTTAAGCTTTGTCTCGAGGCAGTTGTGTGTATACATTTCGAGTGTCCCCCCCCCCTGTGTCCCCCTATTGCCCCCCTAAGTGTCCCCCTCAAAGTGTCCCCTTTTTGTCCCCCTAAATTAAAAAGTTAAAGCACATTTGGAGAGCAAAAAGTTGTGATTTGATATGAAAAAAAATAGGGGGATACTAGGGGGGACACTTTAGGGGGACAAAAAGGGGACACTTTGAGGGGGACACTTAGGGGGGCAAAAGGGGGACACAGGGGGGGCACTCGAAATGTATAGTTGTGTGCGCCTTTTTCTATTCATCCTTTTTTTTCACATGCAAGTGTTGAATTAATTGTGATAGTGCCGGGCATGAGGAATTCGAATCTTTCAAGTTGCTCCAGTTGTGAGCGAAGTTTTCCCTAATAAGGGAAAGTTGGATAAATTGTGCGTTTTCAAGAAAGACCACTATTGAACCACACCGAGACACGGTGCGTTTGGAAAGTTGCGCAAACTCTGAAGAGTTTTTCAAAGAGCACAACTACTGTCATCAACTAGACTAGAGTTAGACTCTCATCAACTTTCCAAACGCACCGTGTCTCGGTATTCTCACAAGAAATTATATAGATCAAAACATAAACATATATTTCTTACAACCAGTTTCAAGTGACATATAAATCAGTGAATTTAGTGCTTTACTACATTGCAAAAGTTTCTCTAACTCTCATTAGTCGGGCTCTTTGAAAAACTCTTCAGAGTTTACGCAACTTCCCAAACGCATAGCTTAAAGCACAAATCATGAACGCCTAAAGGATTTGAACCTTTGAACAACCTATTTTTATGATTGTTTTACATTTTAAGCTCTTTTAGAAATCTTAGGAATCAACTGTGCCATTGGCTGATCTGATATTCTAATCTGAATATTTATATGTTACTAGGTGAGCTAAACTCAAGGTGAGATTTTGGCTGGACACCTAGTGCACTTTATAGAGTCGGGCATGAGGAATTCGAATCTGGAATCAAAATGACTTTCCAGGATGAGATCGTAAAACTTCAATCGAAAATTTGACGTCAAACGAATGCTTTAAAAGGCTTCTTCCTAGCGGGGGAAGGGTTAGTTGATGGCCTAGTGGATAACGGGTTAGTCTTCCGCCTATAAGATCGGTTCATCAGGGTTCGGTCCCTGATACAGCTTTTTGTTTTTGTTTTTCTTTTAGAGAAGTCAGAGTTGGTAGAGAAGCTAGTTAGCTAGAGGAGAAGCTGATCCCAGGCTGATCTAGAGGAGAGGCTGATCTCAGAAGATCAAGTTTTCCAGAAAAAAAAAATAGAACATATAACATAAATTTCTTTTGCATCAACCTAGTAAATACATAGAGTTTCCAAATTGAAAAGTTACCCTTTTTTCAATGATCCTGCTCTTTTTTCCTTCCCTAACTGAAGCTCTAACTATTTCGTTGAATCACCGAATCGAAAAGAGCTGACTTCAGACATTTTATCGTCTTTTTTTCCGCAAAGAGAAGGGTGAAAATGCATTTGTGTGTGGAAATCCTTATCATTTTGTGGGGTCCCTATTCCCTTTTTCTCTTTTCTTTTCTCTCTTCTCTTCTTCTCTTCTCTCTTCTCTTTCCTCTCTTCTCTTTCCTCTCTTCCTTCAATAAGGGCCGGCCCTTCTGAATGAGGGCAACCTCTCCTCTTCTCCCAAAAATGGCGAATTTCTTGCGAATTATTTCATGTGCCTTTGTATGCCAGCTGGTCTTTCTTTTCGTATCTCATTTTTGATTGATAATAGGTTAAGGGTCATTCTTGCATAAACTGTTTTTAGTTTAGCTGTAGAAAATTGATCTATTTGAGCCAGCTTTATTACCAAAGCGACCATCAGCGAAAAATTGGGTAATTAAACCGACGTTTTCCAGCTTCCTAGTGGGCTAGACGCTGATTTTTCCCGACAGGAAAAGAACGCGCAGAGCAGCATCGTCTTGAATCTGTTTTGAAACAAAACTAACTAGCTGCTAGCTAGCGGACTCGTAAGGAATTCTATGTAAACCAAAAGCTTAACCGCCAAGGAATTACGCCAGCCAATTGCGCCAGCCGATTGGGCCAACCAATTGCGCCAGCCGTTTGGGCCAACCAATTGGGCCAGCCGATTGGGTCAACCAATTACGCCAGCCGATTGGGCCAACCAATTGCGCCAGCCGTTTGGGCCAACCAATTACGCCAGCCGATTGGGCCAACCAATTACGCCAGCCGATTGGGCCAACCAATTGCGCCAGCCGTTTGGGCCAACCAATTACGCCAGCCGATTGGGCCAACCAATTACGCCAGCCGATTGGGTCAACCAATTGCGCCAACCAATTGCGCCAACCAATTGCGCCAACCAATCTCGCCAACCAATCTCGACAACTAATTGCGCCAACCAATCTCGCCAACCTATTGTTGCGAATTTTGTCCCCAAAAATGACTCAAATAGCTCAATTTGATTAATTTCCCCATGGTAACCAATTGACAAAAGTCCAAAATTCATTCAAAAATGACTTTTTAAAATTTTTTTATTATTTATTATTTATCATTTCAAATCTTTTTTATCATTTAATAATACCATTTTCTTTATTTTTGTGATTTTTTTTGGCGATTTTTTATGTGGTGAAAGATGATAGAGTCTGTCTTCACACCGTAATCCAAAAAAAAGAAAAAATGACACATTCAAAGCTGTCCTGCCCATATAAAAGTGGAAAAAAGACTTAAAAATCCCCATTCTTTTTTTGGTTGATATCAGTTTTGGTCGATTTTTTTTGCAGATTTTTTGCTTATTTTTGATGAAACTAAAGTTTCTTGGCTTCAACTTTCTTTGATTCGTTTAAAATTCGTTTTTAACTCGTTTAAAACTTTAAAACTCTCTTTTTATTGATTTTTTATATGAATATTGTTTTTTTTATTCAATATTTTGAATAATTTGAATAAAACCTTTTGATTTAGGTATAGAGAAATGTCAATTTCGTTGCCTGGAACACCCGTGCTTTGTCGAGCACAAATTGAACGACTCTCCTCTTCTTCTTCTGGTGATTTTTAGTGAGATTTTTAAATATTAGAAATACTAAATAGGTTAAACTGAGGAAAGGCTGACCAAAACTGACCAAAACTGACCAAAGAAAACAATATTCTGAAGTAACAGTGACAGTAACAAGCTGAAGTAACAAGGTGAAGGCTAGAATAAAGTTTTAAATCTAGTTCAAAATATATCTATGCTTTATTCAGTTGAATCTCAGGCTAATCTAGAGGAGAAGATGATCTCAGGATGGTCTCAGCTTCTCCTCTAGATTAGCCTGAGATCAGCTTCTTCTCTAGATTAGCCTGAGGTCAGCTTCTCCTCTAGATCACCCTGAGGTCAGCTTCTCCTCTAGATCACCCTGAGGTCAGCTTCTCCTCTAATCTAGAGGAGAAGCTGATCTCAGGATGATCTAGAGGAGATCTAGTTGAATAACGACAAAAAAAAGCACAATAATCACCTAGGACACCACTCAAAACATATCCAAAAGATAAAAAGATAAATAGATAAACAAATACCTCAAGAAAGAATCACAAAGCAGTCAAATCAATTGCCAAAATTGCCTAATATCGTAATATTGAATACGGTAACGCTTTACAAATTGTCGCAAAAGTTCTGACACAACTTCTTGTAAAAACAGCTAGCAAATGTCTAACTTATTTCAAAAGTGTTAAGTTTTAAATAGAGATTTAAAGCCCAGAATCTTGGCTACATTTACATACCAAAAGCTTTCAAATTGCTTTCA